TTTAAATATTAATATATAAAAACAGTTTTAAGTACTCCACTATTAAAGAAATCAACGGAAAAAAAAATTAGTTCAAGATAAGATCAAAGTGAAATAGACATTATATAAAATGGATAGTTTTCATTTTAATTTGCCCCTTCATGGAAGCAGTAAGAAATTAATTATTAATTATAAGTGGGAAATAAATTAAATTAGAAAACATACCAAATTTTAAGTCATAATATCAAAACATTGTTTTTTTGATAGGTAACATTAGTGCTTAATTATTTATTTTAATTGCAAGTGGATTAGATACATGGTCTGTGTTTTCTTTTTGGGGAGCTTGGGGTTGTGGGAAGAGAATGATGCAGGAGAAAGAAACACAATTTTTAGGTAAAAGGATCAAATTTGGCTAAGCGTTATTTAAAGTTGAGCAAATCTGACTCCGTTATACTTTGGATCTTATCTTATGCCGTCATTATAAAATAAATAAAAAACATTTTTGCATTGATCCGTAATGGAGTTCAAAATCTGATGGTAATCTATATATNCTGAATTTGAATTAAAAGATAATTCTGAATTTATAGATAAAGTTTTAAAATTTGAATTTAAATTAAAAATAAAAATTTATCTTTTTTTTTAATCATGTTATCATACTTAATTCGGTTAATGATCATATGCAATCATATTAGGAACTTTTGTTATCTTTTCTAATTATGTAAATACTACTTCACCTCTGGCAAAAAAAAAACTACTCTTATAACTATAAAACTCTTTCACATTTAAAACCCTATAATTATAGTTCTTTAAAACACTGTATCTAGATTTGAATAAAGTGAATTTATTTTAAAATAAATATAATATATAGGGTACACGTCTATGTTTATCCAAATAACAAAAAAGAGTTTAAAAATCGAATAAAAGTTTACTTACATATATAATGAAGTAAACATACATGCTGGAGAAAGAAACAACTCAAAAATCAGTCAATATTAAAAAAAAAAAAAAGTTGTTTTTTCTTTTCTTTTTGAAGAATATTTGTTTGAAGAGTCAATTTGTATAAATGGACTTCAAACAAATAACAAAACTTTGGCTATACAATTGCTATCATTAATTTCAATTTAGCACATTCTAGGAATTGAAGGGTATAAGCTGAAACCCCTTCATTTTGCTGTAGTCAAGTCAATATTGCAAGGGTATACTATTTTTTTTGTTGAAGAATATTAGTTTTGAATCATTAGATTATGTGAAAGATTTTTTTTTTTTTCGAACTCAACAAGAGAGATATCGGTTTCTAATTTATAGTTTCTATAGCGATTTTCAAGTGTAACAAAGAGTATATTTTAAAAAAGAAAATTGGTATGACGTGAAATATTTTTTTTAAAATGTAAACAAACTATTTCGAAAAAATACTTTACTTTTTTCTACTTCAAAGATAATAAAAAGATAAGATATTTTTGAACATTAGTAGAGAGTTTTTAAAATTATTATAATAGAAATCATATCATGGATAAACTCAAAAAACCGAAATCTTATGGAATATTTACATAAATATCCGGCCAGATTTATTGTTTACTTTTTATAGCTAATATAAATAGATGATATACCAACAACACACGATTATGCACATAATATATATGAATTATATATAAATTACACATCTTTTAATTTTTTAATTTAAGTGGTCGGGTGAGCACCTATTTAGGCTGATTAGACAAAGCCAGAAAAAAATATGAAACAATTTCAACCAACGACTAAAAATATAAATAAAGTTCTTATTTAGATAATTTCTATTAAAACTCATCCTTTTATAGTAAAATAAATTAATTTTTTGTAGCAAAAGAAAGAATGACATAAAAAATAAGATAAAAGAAAATAAATATTGAAAAAAATGTATGAAAGATTTAAAAACTAGAAATAAGAGATGACAACTAATTTCTTCTTATGTTTCATCTTTGTTGAGTATAAAAAATTTGGAAGTTAATCTCATCGATTTCAAATATTTTTTTCTATTCAAATACATAGATTATAAGATAAGGATATCTTAGAATATTTTTTTTGTTTACATTGTGTGTCGTTTTTAAAAAATTAATATTACTAACAAACTGATATGATATTCGAATTTGAATTTAAATGCACTTTGAGTAGTTTGCATTGAGGATAAGCCAAGTATGGTGTCGAAAAATAAACTATTTGATAATTTTAAGACAATATACGCAATGTTATATAATAACAATCAACTAATTTAATATTTAATGATTCAAAGAACAATTTTTTTGTATATATAGGGGATTAAAAATTCAAAATATGTGGCTAGAGATATCGATAAACTTAAAATGGAGTCATACTGAAATAAAGTTTTTCCGGCTAAAAAATTATTTAAATTTTTAGATAGCCGATTAAAGTGAATTTTAAATTGAGGATAATATCTTCACTTGCATCATTATAAAGATAATAATTATTGAAATATATATAAAGTTTTATAAATTGAAATTTCAAAATAGAAATATATTTTGAAAGATAATATCATACCAAATAAGAGTTTAAGTCGTAGTAAAAGAGTCACGTCGTAATCAAAGAATCGTTTATATTGTGTCAACCTTTGTGCTTTGCCATAAATATGAGTTATTATTTCTCTTTGTGGCTATTTTTAGGTTCCAATGACCCCAATGAGAATAGTACAAAAATAAAATTATCACTACGAGATTTGAGAAAATGTTAGTCTTTTTTCATGTAGAGTTTCTTAATTAATATCTAACGATTATCTATAATTATTTAGAAGGTTTAAATTTTAAGGTTATTTACATATAATTCAAATAACTCAGATATTTAACATGGTTAATATCAAAATGGAGTCATACTGAAAAATAAAATTCACTGGGTAAAGAATTTTTAAAATTTTTAGATAGCCAACTAAAATGAGTTTTGAATTAAGGATAATATTTTCACTTACATTATTATAAAAATAATTATTATTAAAAAATAAAATTTTAGAAACTGAAATATTAAAAAAAAATATTTTTTAAGAGATATCAACACACCAAATAAGAGTTCAAGTAGTAGTAAAAAAGGCCAGTCGTATCCAAAGAGTCATTCATAGTCTCAACATTTGATTGTTTTGCCATAAATATGAGTTATTATTTTGCTTCCTAACTATTTTTAGGATCTAATGACACCGGCGAGAATGATATCAAAAAGAAAAAATAGAAGAAATGGTTAGTTTTTTTCATGTAGTATTTTTTATTAATATTCAATGATTATCTATATTTACCGAGAAAGTTTAAATTTTAATATTATTTATATATAATCCAAATACCTTAAATATTTGACATGATTAGTGTCCGCACATCCGCACGGGTGCTAATACTAGTATTAAATCATAGTAAAAAAATAAAAGGGTAAATTTGAATATTTGTCTCAAAAGATTTTGACATGTGAAATTCGCTCAATTCACGCTAGAGTTGCATTAATGGGAAAGGCAAATACGAAAAGATTTACTAATAGCAAGAGTATGAAAGGATCGGTAGTATAAAAGAAGATAAAAGCAAGCAACTTCAGGTAGCACATGGGCAAGTTTGTACTTTCTCCAAATTTTTTATCCCCATAAAGAAATTTATAACCTTATTAGAACAAATAAAAGAAAAAAGTCATAAATACCCTCTGTCATATTTTTAATTACACATATTATCTTTACAATCTTATTATCCCTTACCCCTCTTTCTACCCCGCAAAAATAAAATGTATAACTGAAAATTCGACCATAGGTCAAGGGGTGACTAATGCTTTTTCCATAAAAGAAAGAAGAAACATGCCTTTTATTATAATAAAATATAACCGTTTAATTTTCCAGATATAATCAGAGATTATACATTTTATTTGATGACCCTTCTATCTCAACCCCTAATCTTGTAGCTTGCAATTAGCATTCCGTTGTTGTCTTATACGTATGCAAAACCAACTCTCATTTATTTTACCGCCCTATTATCCTTATTGAAAGAGACAGCATAAAGTATTAGAACAATAAAATATAGTTTAAGAAAATGTATGATCAACGTAGGTAAAGAGGATACCTAACTTTTACATTAAAAAAAAATGCGTCATCTCCTCACAAATCAATCAGGTTTTTTAGTCTTACATTTACTTACAAGTGTAATGAAAATTTTAAATTATAAAACTAAAAGGCCAAGGTATCAAAGATGTGGAAATGACACCAAATAGTCACTTTTAAGTATGTTGTTTAAAATATTATCCACAATTTACAATATATTTAAAGATTAGCTAATTTTTTCAAAATTTAGGATACGGCATCCTTAAGTTTAAATATCAAGGTTCAAACTTTAGGACATCGTGTCCTAAACTTTAAATTAGTAGCTCAGAAATTTAGGACACTTAGTGCTAATTTCAAATTAGCAATTCAGAAATTCAAAATACTTAGTCCTTAATTTCAAATTAGCAGCTCAAAAATTCAAATAGTTAAATAAATGTGTTACAAGTACCACATAGTTAAATTAAAAAAGTGCAAAAGTTGTTTTTTCTACTGTTTGAAAGAAGCAAAAATTAAACAAACAGCTTCTCTATCCTCACAAGGTAGGGATAAGGTCAGTGTACACATTACTCTCCCCAGACCCCACAGTGTTGGATAATACTGGGTATGTTGTTGTAGACTTGTAGAGGTCGTAGAACTAGAATCAAGAATGAGAATTGAAGGTTATGAACAATCCCATTTGTAGGAGATTTCTCAACCTCTGATAACCTAAAACCATCAACCAAATAACTGTTTGACATCTATCATTGCATTCCTTTCCGCGTATTTTACATTCATGCTTCTCTATAACAGCCATCTTCTATAACACTTCACTATAATAGTCAATTTTTTTTGGAACTAATTTTTTATGTTATGTTATAACATATGTTTTCTATAACAGCACTTCGCTATAGCAACTAAAATTATCTAGAACAAACGAGGCTATTATGGAAATGTTTGACTGTACTATGAAAAGATAAATCAGTGGGAAGCCAAGTAACCATAACAAATCACTACACAATATCCCAAAATGGATTGCTGGAAGACAAATGAAGAGACATAACATTTGAAAATATGTTTTCTACAAGTTAAACTTCCCTATATGAGAAAAGAGAAGAATGCTACCTACACTCCTTAAACTGGCTTCTGGCCTTGACTAATATCTCAACCCAGCCTGTTGAATGCCTTTCAACTAGAGCTTCGACTCAGATCAATGGCTTTACCTGAATGCATTACTAGTAAAGTTATAAACTTTTTACATCGCCTTAACTAACAACGAAGAATAATCATAGGCACACTACAATGAGAACAGAGTAACAGAGAGCACCTCTATGGTAACAGTGACTATTGAGGAAGCAGCCAGCAAGAGCATAGACATTTTTGGCCTTTCAGTAAGTATATTTCCTAAAAATAATATAGCAGAGGAACAAAAACTATTTGCAGTAAGCTTCATAAGTTGTGGCTAAGACAGATACAACAACATGAACTGTATTATCGGTGTAAAAAGATGATAAGAAGAAAAACTCGAAGCTTATGCACTTACTTTCTTATAGCTTATCAAGTGAAGTTTCATGTACATGGTTACTTATGTAATTCTGCTTTCCTTTATTTCCTTCTCTCAATGAAAAAAGTAAACCTTTATTGAAGAATCCATTTCAATGAACATGTGGGGATGTTTTATATTTAAGTGTAGGGGTTACTGTATCATTCAAGTGTGCGAAAATTGGAGGATTTCATAGCTATATGCAATGCACAGTTGCACACCCTCACTGATGGTTAATGCATGTACTAATATTTTGATGAAATAACTAAATAACTTGCTTATTTGCAAAACACATGAATCTACTGCAGCAAAACACATGAACTATTGTATGAGAAACACATGCTGCAAAATTATTCTAAAAGAGAATCATGTGGATGTGAAAGCTACTGCCTCTGTGATTTTACTGCTGCGAATTTAGATCTCTGAATATGTACATGAATCTAAACCCTAAATCCTCAGAACTAACTCAAAATCAATTTCCAGTCTTCTCCCAACTCCTAACTATCAAAATACTCAAAAATTGTGGAGAACCACATTTAAGAGATTCTGGCTAACTGAATCTCTTCAAGAAGCCATTTCGCAATATTTGAGGATTTGGGGTACTATTTCCCTGTCTGAGATGCCGATTAACAGAGCAGTGTATTTGAGTAGGAACGAACTCTTACTTTCCATTACCTTCCATTTTGCTTTTGTTCACAACGAAGGTATGTAGAGGACAAAAAGCTAATCCGGACATCTTCACTGCAAAAAGGAATGTATCGTACCTGTTTTAATTTTTCCTCTTTGGGGTAGGGGTAAGGGGAAGGGGAATATAGTCCTCAATTCAGAAGCTGTACATATCTACATCATTTTGCTTCAAGGAAGCCACGTCAAAATTCTCCAATGTTTTAACATCTCTCGAAAATTCTGTAGAGCTTTTCCAGTGATGCAACCTGAACAAAAGTTCCATTTTTAGCCATAGAAGCAGGGGGCTTGGAGAAGAGTCTGAGGGAGGGAAACAGAACATGCTGAATCGACCATTCGCGTTGAGCCCAGGCATTTTCAGCCTCCAAAAGTAATTCTGCCTCAAATTCAGACTCCGCGGTATCATTCTCTATGTTTTCCATATAAGTTCCAACTGAACCACTCGAAAGCATTCTCTTTCTGTAGAATTTCAAGCCATCACCCGAGGGTTTAGGCAATAATGGAGGATGCATGGCATACAAATTTCCAAGGGCAGCGGCAATTGTCTGAAAACAAACTTTCTCGTCTTCCCAGTCAACATCATTGCCCAAACAAAGTATAAATTCTGGGATGCGGTCCATGTCAGGTGTGTACTGATCAAGTATAACAGGAAGTCTAGACAAATTGCCATTTGAATCGATATAAACACTAAAATACTCCCCTAGCATTTCTGCTTTTTCCTTGAGCAGTTCTGTATTCATCTCGGCGATCTTTCCTCTTAGCTCATTGCTTTCATTGCCTTGTGGATCTAAACCCTCTTCTTCTTTCAGAGCAAGCATTATTAGCTCGGGTAATGACGCCGGTTCACTTAGTTGAATTGCATTGAAATGTGCAAACCGACGTAAAACTTGCTGATACATAAGCTCTTTACTCAAGTTAATCACATTAACAAGATAAAGGTGTGTGTTGTGTTGAATCAAAGCAAAAACTTCATCCGCCATCCCAATATACGTGCAATGCCTAACAACGTCTAATAGACCAGGGTGACAATCAATTTCAATCTCATTAACTAGTTCTTGGATGCTAGTGAGGTCCGCAGTTTCACTAGGATTCCTCCTTTGTCTAATAGAAGACCTCACCGAGCTCAAGCAAGAACCTCCTCTTTCTGAATTACTAGGAGGCTTCATTTGCATGTACGCGTGCAACCTTCCAGAAGGGTCCAGCGTATCCGTTCGTACCATTTTATGTGGCGCTTTTTGCGACTTTATCCCAGATGAAGACGGACAATCTTTACTGGAATCTTTAATTGTGGCCACTGGACTTGAAGAACAAAAATCCATGGTCTGTTCCTGGAATCTCCTCGACTCATTCGAGCTTCTCAATTTCGACTCTACCACAGACTGTATCTTCTCAATGATGAATTCTTGATTCATAAGGCTTACCTCTCTCTTTGTTGGGTGTACATTCACATCAACGTGCTGAGGTGGCAAAACGATTGACATGTATATAAAAGGTTTCGATGCTTTAGGCAATGTTGCAGTATATACAATTTCAATTGCCCTTTTCAAAGCACTACAATCAACGAGCCTATCATTTATAAAAAGAACCATAGTTATCTTCTTTGCAATATAATTCGAGTCAGAAATGAAACCGTCCATCTTAAAACCAGTATCAGAAACTTCAATTTTCATCAGATTTCGAGCAACTGAAACTCCATAAACAGATCTAATCGAATCAATCCTCGAACAAGTAGCTAGACTGTAAACATCTGCTCTACCAGCTCCATGTTTTCTACAAGAGAAGCTCACATTAATGTGATGAATTGCAAACCTACTAATTAGGTCAACAATTTTCGGATAATCATCGGCCGAAGAATTCTCTAGGGTTTTCCTTCGCGCCGCCATGTTATAAAATAAATTCTCAATCATTATCTGTGTACCTTTAACAGCAGCACAAGGTTTTGGTTCATCTACCATTAAACCATCTCTATACGTTGCTCTGTATCCGTACAGCTGGCCGTCGGTAATAGTAGTGACAGTTACGTGACCTACGTAAGTCATACTAGCTAAAGCTTCACCTCTAAATCCCATTGAACTAATCGTCTGTAAATCTTCAAACTTACTCAGCTTAGACGTCGTGTGCCGCTCGCATAAAATGGGTAAATCTTCGTAACGTATGCCGTGGCCGTCGTCGGAAACTTGGATAAGTTTAAGGCCGGAATCCTTAACGACGACGGAGATAGAGGTGGAATTAGCATCTAAGCTGTTTTCGATGAGCTCTTTTACTGCAGATACTGGCCGTTGGATTACTTCCCCAGCTGCGATTCTGTTCACTACTGATTCCTCCAGCCGCTTTATCTTCGGCGGCTCCTTCGGTATAGCCGCCGCCGCCGCTGCTATGGGTTCCATTTCCACTTCGTTAATAGCCTCTTCGATTTCCATGGCGGCGGATTCGGCACTGTTCTGCTCTGTATTCTGTGGGAAGCAAAATGCAATGTAATTTGGATTTTTAGGGTTTAGACAAGTGGGTCTGGGGGAGTATTTGGGCGGGAAGAAATGGTTTGGCTGAAAATTGGGATTACTTCCTCTACAATATACTAAATTTATTTACCAAAATTATCCTAATTTTGTATATTACCCGCAGTAAATAAGAATTACTTACAAATTTTATAAAATTCATTATTAGTGCCTTAAATTAGGAGATTCAATTACATCATTTTCTTTTTTTCTCTCCTCTCTTCTTTCCATATTTATTGTCGCCTCTCCATATACAAATTCATTATTAGTGCCTTAAATTAGGGGATTCAATTACACTTTTTTTTCTCCTCTCCTCTTTTCCTATTTTCTGTCACATCTATCAATATACAGTAGTTTGAGAAGGTCAATGCACAAATAATCTAATTACCAGACGTGATGTGGATAATTTAGATTCAACGCTTATTCTATTCACACTTTAAATTAATTTTCTGATCTCATTGCTTTTAAGAGTTGGTTGGGGATGATTTGTATAGTTTCATATGTTTTCTCCATAGTAATTTATTATGAAGATATACATGTCTCTCATAGTGAGAGGGGAGACACATTGTGGAGGATGTGTAACGACCCGACTTGTCGTTTTAAGAATTAATTCCTCGTTCAGTGACTTAAGGTCTCGAGCAACTTCACAATATGTATTATGACCCGTGGGGTGTGGTCGAGTTTGATTTACTGAATATTCAAAATTAAATTAAATGAACAATTGTTATTTAAGAAGCGTAAAAGAAAAGAGTTGACCGGAGAGTTGACTTTTGAGCAAACGACTCCGGAATAGAGTTTTGATAATTCCAATAGCTTCGTATGGTGGTTTTAGACTTAGGAGTATGTCCGAAAAATCATTTGGAAGCTCGTAGCTAAATTAGGCTTGAAATAACTAAAATAGAAATTTAAGTTTGAAAGTTTAACCGGGGAGTTGACTTTTTGATATTGGGGCCGGAATCCGATTCTGAAAATTGGAATACCTACATTATGTCATTTATGACTTGTGTGCAAAATTTGAAGTCATTCTGGATTGGTTTGATACGTTTCGGCGAAATAATATAGAAGTTGGGAGATTCGAAAACTCATAATTCGATTCGAGGCGCGATTTGTAATTTTGACGTTGTTTGACGAGATTTGAAGCCTCCACTAAATTTGTATTATATTTTGGAATGTGTTGGTATATTTGGTTGAGGTCCCGAGAAGTTTGGGTGTATTTTTGGATCATTGGTTGAGAGATTAGTAAAGTTAAGAAAATTGAGAGTTTGGCCATGGTCAATATCGGGTCAATACGACCTCTTTTCAGTGTTTTGAGTGCGCGAGCAGGTCCGTGACGTATTTTATGATTGAAATTCATATATGGTTTGTGTCCGAGAGGTTCCAGATGAGTTTCGGGAGTACTGAGGCAAAAGGAAAGTGCGGACCTCAAGGGAATTGTGCGGACCACACAATTTTGGTGTGGTCGCACTTCAGCCCGCAGATGAGTGTGAGGCCGCACTCAGGAACTCTCGGATTCGATGGTCCGACTTCGGAATCTTATATCTTTTGATCCACAAGGAATTTCGAGATGATTAAAAATGAGAGTTGTAGCTCTTCGTGTCTAGTTTCTAGAAAGGTAAAGAAGTCATCATTTGGACATCTATAGAGAAAATTATGTCCAAAATACTAAAGCCTGCACATCAGCTCAGTAGGCACATCAGATTACTCGGAGTGCTCCAGTAAGTTATTACGATGCACCACCGTCACGGGATTCCTATAATGGTTATTCCAGTTACCCGGCACAGACTCAATACGAGCAACCGTGACCTCACATGGGTTGTTATGAATGTAGTGATACTAGGCACGTCGTGAGAGATTGTCTCAGACTTGGGAGGGGTGGATTTCATCAGAGCACTCAAGCTACAAGCTTTATTCTAGTTAATACTCCACGTACATAGTCAGTTAGAGGTGGAAGACATGCGGGTAAAGGGTGCCTAAGTGGTGGAGGCCCGATCCATTGATATGATCGTTATGATTTGGCTGAGGCCGATACACCAGATGATGTCGTTACAGGTACGATCCTGATTCTGTTATAAAAGGATATTTTTTCTTTAATTTGATTTGGTTCTAAATATTGAGGTGAGTCCTCCTATTATGCTCCACTTATGGGTGAGCTTGTGACCCACTTATATATTTATACTTGTTGGGAGATTTGGAGATGTGAGCCCATGTCTGTTATTTTATTTTTGTACACCATTGAGGGTTATAAGTCCAAAAGTAATTTTTATTATTCATTATAGTGGGTTTAATGTGTTTCGGAATAATTAATTCCAATTTTTATGAATTATATGCCCTACCGGTATGAGGGTTAATTATGTATTGTGAAAATTATTTATGAAATATATTGAAAAGAAGAAAGAAAGAAAATTGAATTTTCGGTTGGCACAATGAGCAAAATACTTGTGATTCGGAGTTGAGGACGAGATCCTCGAACTTTTATATGATGTGAAATATTTAAACCAGGCTACAAGCCGCGGTGAAAGTTATATAAGGATGAGGTCCTTGTGGTAAAATATTTATGAGTTTAAATTCTCCTTTTGTGAAGTTTAATTTGTACTATAGTACTACTAGTGAGTTATGCCTGATAGGCTTATGTGATAATTCCTTTATGTATTTCTGTGCCATAATTATATTATAATTATTGAGTTTTAGCCTATGAGGTGAGTGCCCAGGTGACGTTAAATATGACTCGTTAAGTCGGGTAAATAGTTATGAGGTCTTCATGCCTCACATTTTGCTATCAGTGTTGTGAAAACTCGAAACGGGGTTTTGGTTAATATGAGATTAATTGACGATGTTGTAATGGATTATGAATAACTATTAAGACCAAAGAAGTGGTGATGGACATACATATGATGTGCTTCATGTCCTGATATCATTATGATAATGTAGTGCTTGTAATGCTGAGATTAGTGTTATTGATATATACATTGTGGTGCTTTGTTGGGTTGTGGATGTGTTGTTATGAGTTATTTTGGTATTACTCTAGCAGGTGGGTAGGCCCAATTACACGGGAGACTCTGCCCAAAATTTCTGAAAAATTTGGGAGTTAGAAAAACAATTGGGAGATTGATATGTGCGAAAGAAGAGAAAAGTTATGTTATGTGTTCAAGGGCGAATAATCCTAAGTGGGGGAGAATGTAATACTCCGGAGTACTTCAACACTATCAAAAAAGTTTATGTGTGCATATGCACGAGTTGCTATAGTCAGTTTAGACTAATACCGTACGTCGAAGTGAAAATCACGCATTTTGAAAATGATTGGAGAGTTAGGGATTTTGCTTTAAAGCTTATAAGAATGGGGAAAAGAAATAATCTCAATTGAGATGGTGTTGTCCGACCCATAATAAATTGCGGAACATAGAATCACCCGCGAGTATGTGTGTAAGAATACACTCAGTAATTTAATATCCTCAGAAAGATTCTTGGCACGTTCGAGGACGAATGTATGTTTAAGAGGTCCCGACTTGTCATTTTAAGAATTAACGCCCCGTCCAGTGACTTAAGGTCTTGAACAGCTTCACAATATGCATTATTACCCGTGGGTGTAGTCGAGTTTGATTTACTGAAGATTCGAAATTAAATTAAACGAACAATTCTTATTTAAGAAGCGTAAAAGAAAAGAGTTGAGCAGAGAGTTAACTTTTGAGCAAACGACTCCAGAATAAAGTTTTGATGATTCCATAGCTCCATATGGTGGATTTAAACTTAGGAGCGTGTCCGAAAAATTATTTGGAAACTTGTAGCTAAATTAGGCTTGAAATAGCTAAAATAGAAATTTAAGTTTGGAAGTTTAACCGGGAAGTTAACTTTTTGATATTAGAGCCGTAATCCAATTCTGAAAATTAAAATACCTACATTATGTCATTTATGACTTGTGTGCAAAATTTGAAGTCATTCCGGATTGGTTTGATACGTTTCAGCGCAAAACATAGAAGTTGGGAGATTTTAAAACTCATAATTCGATTCGAGGCGCGATTTGTAATTTTGACGTTGTTTTATGAGATTTGAAGCCTCCACTAAGTTCGTATTGTATTTTGGGACGTGTTGGTATATTTGGTTGAGGTCCCGAGGAGCTTGGGTGTATTTTTGGATCATTGGTTGAGATATTAGTAAAGTTAAGAAATTTGGAAGTTTGGGCATGGTCAATATCGGGTCAATACGATCTCTTTTCAGTGTTTTGAGTGCGCGAGCAGGTCCATGGCGTGTTTTATGATTGAAATTCATATATGGTTTGTGTCCGGAAGGTTTCAGATGAGTTTCTGGAGTGCTGAGGCAAAAGGAAAGTGCGGACCTCAGGGGAATTGTGCGGACCACACAATTTTGGTGCGGCCGCACTTCAGTCCGCAGAGGAGTGTGTGGCTGCAGTCAGGAACTCTCAGATTCGATGGTACGACTTCGGAAGCTTATATCTTTTGATCCATAAGGAATTTCGAGATGAGTAAAAAACGAAAGTTGTAGCCCTTCTTGTCTAGTTTGCAGAAAGGTAAAGAAGTCATCATTTGGACATCTGTAGAGAAAGTTATGGCGCAAATACTAAAGCTTGGCAGTGCAATCACCAAGAAAGTGCGGCGGCACTTGGAATTGTGCGGACCACACATGGTGAGTTCAGAGAATGTAGTATATAACCGAGACTTAGGTTATTATTTTATTTTTGGACCTTGGGAGCTCGGTTTGTAACAATGTCTCGTGGGTTTTTTCAAGAAATTCATTGGGTAAGTGTTCTATAACCAAGAGTGATTATATTTCATAAATCCATGTCTATATTTATCATTTATTTCGGATTTAGATGGAAGAAATTGGAATTTTTGTAAAAAAAAATTCAAAAACGAAAATTTAAGATTTGAATGTCCATTTGACATCGGAATTTGATAATTTTAGTATGGTTGAACTCGTATCAGAATGGGTGATCGTATTTCATGAAAATTATGCCGGATTCCGAGAGGCGGGTCCCGCGTTGCCTTTTGTTGACTTTTTGGAATAGATTTTTAA